AGGGAGCAACGACTTGGTCCACCACAGGTGTTGGGGTCCCGAACTCCTGTGCTCCACCAGCTGATGTCACACGTTGGGGCTCCAGTGATGTGGTTGCTGCATCATCACGACTTTCTTTTGTAGTCTGTCGTGGCTCTAGCACGCGGTCAGGGCCACGGTTCTTACGGAGTATAGATGCGTAGGTGGTGCCCGGCCGTGGGACAATGGCACTCGCTTGACGCTTTGCGTCTCTATACATTAGTTTTTGTTTTACTTGTATTGCCAGCGTTTCCTGTTCAAGTTTGTAGTGATAGCAGTCAGGTGATGATGCTTCATGGGGACCTCCACAATTAGGGCATCTAGCCGGTCGGAGACACGGCAAATCATGTGCATCTTCAGAGCATCTGGGGCAGCAGTTGTCGCTCGGCATGTTTTAGCTCCATGGTTGAAGTGCTGACACTTATAGCATCGGCGTGGGCGAGGGATGTACTCTCTCACAGCACAGCGGTGCCACCCGATCTTCACCTCAGTTGGGAGCTTGCATATGTTGCGAATGTTAAGACATATAACGGGAGGTCACCAGGGTTCCATGCAACTTCTTCTTCATTTGGTACAGTGGTTCCCAAAGTGGGCGATATCGCCCCCCTAGGGGCGATGGAAAGATTTTGGGGGGCGATAAAGAAGAAGAGGGCGTTTGGGGGGCGATAGGGGGGCGGCATTCGGAAGTCGAAGTTCGAACGTTTGTTTGACGATTTGTGCACAACACGTGCAGCGCATCATGACTCCCAGCGATGGTTTTTTCACCCAGATCTGTTTTTAGCGCATTTACTCATTTATGAAAAAAATGCACTATTGTGCTCGCCATGTCCGTCCGTCTGTCCGCCTGTCTGTCAGTCCGTGACTTTACGTTTTCGTCGACGAGAAAATGCGCTCTCTATGTCACTCACTGCAGTGAGTACTGAGTTATATTTTTTTAACCTCTCCTGGGTTTACATCTCCGACAAATTAACGGCCGGACTCGCGTCCGGTCTCACGGCCAATTTCCAAATTCAATGATCAAGGAACACCTCTCAAACTAATAAACTTAACTGGATGAAACTTGGCACATGTATTCATTAGGACCTAACGGTAATGTGAAGCTCGTCAAAATTTTTCAATTTTGCCTTCAATTGTTTTTGCCATGTTTATATGGCAATACGTACGGGCCGAATTCACAGTGATCACGGAATTTCTTCCAAATTACTGAACAGATTCGGACGAAATATTGAATTTACAGTCCTAACTACCGAACGGTGATGTTTAGCTCGTGAAAATTTTTTCGATTGTGCCTTCGTTCGCGAGTTTCATTCGTGATTTAAACAGCAATACGTGCTTTAATTCGCAGTAATCAAGAAATTTCTTGCAAACTACTGAACAGATTTGAACGTAATTTAGTATTTTAATACCTACCTAACCTCAGCATCGGCGATGTTTACCTCGTTACAATTTTTTCGTTTGTGAGTTATACGGCTATACGTAAACGATTCTTGGTTAAACCAGCCGGTAGAAAAGCCGATCGTTTCTCCTATATCTGTATAACTTGCGAACGAAAGCGAATAAGGAAGTGTGAAATCAAGAATGACGGTAAGATGAAAAAAATCTCGCAAACGACGGAAAATTTTTTTTTTTCAATCTAAAAAACACCATTTGGTAGTTAGGAATGTATATTCAAAATTTCGTTCAAATCTGTTCGGTAGTTTGGAAGAAATTCTTTGATCACTGCGAATTTCGGCCTGTATCGCAATATAACTCGAATGAAGGTGATATTAAAAAAATTTTCGCAAGCTAAACGTCACCGTAAAGTTCTGATGAATACATGTTCCAAGTTTTATTGAGATGCGTTCATTAGTTTGGGTGATATTCCTTGATAACTGAATTTGGAGATTGATCGTGTGACCGGCCACGAGTCCGGCCGTAAATTTGCCCGAGACCTCCTAGGTTCCTAGTGCTGGAACGGTTAAAACAGCTGAAAAACACATTGGTTCACTAAAAGGGTCCTATTTATGAAATACACATTTGAGTTTAACCTTTATCTGTTAGAATTGCAGCGTACTAAATTTCAAGAAAAAGGCGCATGATTTTATATGTGTCTGTGGGGGGCGCTAAAAATTCACTAGGGAGCCAAAGGGGGCGCCAGCCTGAAAAAGTTTGGGAACCACTGATTTGGTAGATTGATTTCACGTTATAGTGGCTAAGATGCTCTTGTAGTTTTTCGGCTGGATATTTAGGCTCATTTCGGTAGTAGATGGTTCCTTTTGTTTCATTCAGTGCACCGTGCGGTTCGACGGTGACAGAAACAACTGCTAATGACTTTATGTTTAGAATGGATTCACTCTGAGCTTTGCTTTGTACTTCCACAATGAGGGCTCCGTCGCGGGTCTCGTGCGCATTTTTGGGTTCACTGCCCAAAGAAAGGACAAAGAGCCGGTTAGCCAGAACGACGTCAATGGCAGCTAGGCTCTCACCCGTCGTCGACGAGACGCGGAAGAAGCGAGGGTAATCTCGGTTGTAGGCTTCTAGGGTTGGCTGAGTTTGTCTCCATGTTCCTCGTTTAGAATTCTTATTTTGCTCGGCCCTGCCAGAGGCCTGAGGGCGCGGGCTAAACGGCTCCAGTGTCGTGATCAACATGGAGGTAGGAGAAGTCAAGGTTGGTTCCGTAGTGAGGGTCCGGGTCGTTTCCGTTGTCGGGGTATCAGGTACGAGAGGCGCATCCAAAGAATTCATTTTTCTGATCCGGGTTGTTTGATTCGTCCGACGCGCTGAGCAGGCACCCGTGTATCTGCCTCCAACAAAGGGATCCCTGGTGTCAAGCACACGTAGTCTCGACGGGAACACTCGTACGCTCGGATATAGCTTTGGTTGTCGCGGGCGCAGCAGGTTTTGCGTTTGACTAACGTTGCAAGACGAGCGCCACTCCATCTGCGCGGTGTTTAAGCAGCCCCTCGCCTGCCTAGGAGTCCCGCAGCTAACCCTTGCCACGCATGACTGTTGAAGCTAGCGGGTCGGGTCTAGCTCCCCGCCAGGGTTCGTCAATCCAGCGAAAAGTCTTTGCGTATCCGTAAGAGAGAGCCAGGTCGTTACCAGAAGGGCGTTTTGCCATCACTGTTAGTCTGAACTCTTCACCCGAGCCACTCGGCCATGATTGCATCTGTGACCGCCCAGCTTCGGGTCTCATCGAGACACGCAAGCCCCCTTCCCCCCACGACAAGGGCGAGATGGCACGGGGGGGATGTGACAAGGAGGGACAGGTGAAAAGCAACAGAAACTAAGACACTCGAACAAGAGGTCGCTTACACGGGACGTCGGCCGACCGCACGAGAGAGACAGAGAAGGGAAATGTAAGGAATCCTACCTACATAATAACTTAACCCCACAACTGAGAACCGCAGTCAGACACCACGAGCTCAGCGGTGGGGCGGGCGCTCAGGAACAATCACCCTAGGAGCGCGAAATTCCACAAGACTTCTGACGAGCTCAGAAACACGCCAAAAGTCCCCCCTGAGGAGTGACGTCGATAAGATGGGATGGATAATTAATATCGTGCATATCCTTGTCAACATTATATTTGTCCAAAATTGCAACAGTATCAATGTCCTATGTAACTCTCAAAGTGAACCGTTGCCGCAGTCGTACCTATTAAATTTTGAAACTTTATGTCCACAGCAGCTAAATGTTTACCATATGGGCATTATTGTCACCCTAACTTGAAACACTTCGATGATTATCAGCGTTGATTTCAAACCTTTAAAAACGAACACCATATTCATGCGCCGTTATTCCGAGATAGCGATAGAGCCGCGAGGCGCACCCAACAAAGTGCCAGTCCATGCGTTAAATGATATAGATATGAAGAAATTAACCAATCAAATTGCATTGATAACTGCTGCACAGTGAAAAGTGACAAATTTAGCACTTGTGATATAATTTTGTGAGAGGCTGCACGTCTATAGAACAAACGAGATCACGATATAAATTTATGAAAAAAAATAAACGATACCACACCCAGTTAATCATAACAAATACAGTCGCGAAAATCTTCGTGAATACAGATTCAATTATATGAACGTAATTGTAAGGTATAACTTGCTGCATAAATTTAAGTCTCAGGATGAAGGCGATGTCGTTGTAATTAATGGCTACAATAGAGTGACAATGTAAGAGAGGTCGACGTCTGTTCATCAATACAGCGACTGCTTGCTGGATGTAGTTGACTTAAGTCAAACATAGGATCAGTGCAATTGTTATACTTGATATAGAAGTTGCAATCTTGATGGAAACCTAAGAATTCTTGCTTCAATTTAGACTTCGACATCAAACGTTCAGATTTGAAAGAATAGCGTTCATGTAACCATATTAAAAGTGTAGTTTTCAAGACTTACGGGTGAATCCCTTTGAACTCAACTTAATTAAGTGCCCAAGATCCGAGTATATTTTGCGAGCACTCGCGACAAGGTGCATTTAGTGCGCGATTACAAACTAGCGTATCATAGGTGCCTGCATTATACTCCGGATAGCGTGCCACACGACACCGAATGCGACACATGACAGCGCGTAAGTTTAACACTTAACCAACTACTTCTAACCTCTACGATGACTCGGGACTTGCGCATAATTCGCCTAACGTAACGGCTAACACTAAAATCTCTACGATTAGAGCCTCAATAAAGAAAAATAAACACTCCAGTTACCATTCACTGCATGGTGTCAGACCAACCAAGCGTGGACAAAGAAATGCCTCCATTTGCATGGCGGTTCCCCGCGTTTACAAAAATTCAATGAACAAGAGGTTTGGGTGTGGAATTTCAGTGGTATAACTAGAACAAGCTTACCTCCTCCACGTGGCATACTAATGTTACGCTTAAGATAAGAATAATGTAGTTATACAGCAACGCTTCCTGTGAAGGGCTCAGCACATGACTTTTTGAATCCTAAGATGGCGAGAGTGTCGCCACACTGTCTTCACTACAGGGACAATTCTGCACACTTAAAAATATGTTGCATTCCCTCCTGCTGCTCAGCCCAACAACACGAAAACAACAGGCATGCCATCAAGAAGTTATATTACATTCATGTGCATTTGTGCAATGTTACACTGAGCATCGCAAAGGTTATATCCTCTCTGAGTAATTCGATCAGTTTATGCGGGTCAATAAACATGATATGACCAGCTTAGCGTTTAGGTGCAATGCATCAAGATGAGACCCTGTTGGCTGTTGCAATGGAGTTCGTAAAGAGGAATCAAGAAGGAAAATAACGTTATTATAACTTAAACTAAGACAAGTCGTAGTTATATCAATCCGCTGTAAAACTCGCTACGATTTGAATTAATGTGGATGGCCTTGTCAGTGATCGTACGAAGAGTTTTACAATACCTTGGCACATATTTGATCACGACAATGACTTATTGCTTTCCAGATAGAGAATATAGTTCACTCTGAACTTAGCAGTCAAATAGAAGCTATGCCTAGGCATCAGATCATTGAACATTGCTGAACGAGATTCCTCAAGATTTGGCACATTTGAGCAACCAGTGATGATGAGATGCCTTAGTCGGCACGACACACTCATGGGCGTTTTGAATACGTCAATGAAATATTAACCCCTATATCATGCCTGTGGAACTTTGTTTGGAGACCGGCATTAATAACATTGAAAATTAGGTATTTTTAATTATAATCCTTCACAACCGCACAAATGCCGTTTGTTACCATGCGCTCAATTTAAATAGCATAAAAAGAACGATCCAATTAGTACCATGACAATACACGGAAATGAGAATGAGCGATCGAACTAACATCGGCACAGTCAGAATCTAGTCATTTGTTCGGGTCTTGCGAACTATGGAAAAACACGTAAAATAAATGTAACTCACCACCACAAGACGGACGGCACGAGAAAATGCAGGAATGATTCCCAGGAATTCACCATTAAAATAATAATTCTAGGCTTGAATGAATAGAACTAAAAGTTGTGAGAAGCCAAGGCAGTGGAGCAGGTTGAGCAGCAGTAGCAGCACCAGTCCTCTAGAGACTAAAGTGTGTTTGCCATCATTGAGCCTATACGGTTAACAGGAATGATATTATTACGAGTTATATTTCAGGTTAGAAGTACTCGGAAGCTACCTTCGACAGTGCAGAAAAGCGAACAAAACCGCCACCCAACAAAAGCATAGTTTAGACTTTAGAGAGTCCACGCAAAGCAGGCGCATAGCTGACGTCTAATCGTGTCCTAAGCAAGTAGTGCAGCTGTAAAAGCAAAGTTAGACTGCATTCCACACCAAAAATATTCCCTGAAATTTATATGAAAATAAATTTCATAACATTCAATATGCGAAATAAGATAGGCTCAAGTGAACTACGAGTATTTTCTGATACCCGAAAGCAATACAAAGGTTTTAGCTCAGCCCGAAGCTCTTTATTCATCAAGGAATGTTTTCCTATTACAGTGTTCATGTTTTCCTATTATTATGAGGTCCATGTTTCCTTATTACATGGATGGTTTTCCTGCGGCAAAATCAGTCGATAACTGTTGAACAATAAATAAGATGTGTTCGGGCAAGTCAAGAAACTGAGTAACTTCAAAATATCGCACGAAATGCCACGTTCTTCATGGAAAAATATGCTGAACTAGTACAGTTTTACGAGCAGAACGAGTCCAGGATACTTACGCAGTCAAGTGTCACCGAGCAAACATGAAGTTTTATTCTAAGGTTCGACTGAAGCAAGAAAAAACGAAGACAACGAGGCGCTGATGTTTATGATGCATCAGAAAATGGCTCTTAAAAACAAATCCCCCTTTAAAAAAATTGATAAATTAATCAGTATTGTTCTCTTTCTGTCGTGGAATGGCAGCAAGTCTAAATCTCCAAGCACGTCGTTGGAATCATTGAATCGAAGCTTTCAACCATAATCCAGAACGAACATAATTCTTGACCATTGCTAAATTGCTCTGTCCCTGTAAATTTGGATAACTACTGGAAAGAAAAAAAACCGACAATGTTTCCGCCTTCGCTTAAGAGTGTCGATTACGACTTGAGTTCAAATCATGGGCATAATGACAGCAGGCAGCTGCGGGCACCAAAATCTAAATCATATACAAGACCACATCACAAGACCAAGTGACATTTGTGCCAAGTCCTCAACTCACATTACGGTTATGGGATGGAAGTGGAGCCACACAACGCAAGTATAAATCAGCATTTCTTTCATATGTCAAGGAAAACCTAATGGATCAAGACAACATAAAAGGCAATTCTTTTTCTAGTTACATGGTAGAAGAACTTAAGTCATAACCGTAAGTCTAAGTAACAGTCGAATCATTATGCAAGAAAAGTTAAGTTCCTTGGTCACAATTTTCCCTCCAGGAAACTAATCCAGATTCAAATGCAAACGCAAAAGAAGCGCCAGTAAATAAAGTAGTAATACAAGCGAGTAATTGAGGTTCCTTTTTTCAAGGAACAAATTAAAGCACTTGAATCTAAGCCACCAATTGCTGTGGACACTCAGGGTGCTAGGTGCATATACAACAGTCAATACGCGCTGTATAGTCAACACACGAGTGTTAAAGCAGGGAATGTGGGAGAATATTATGCCATTAATAATACAACCAATATATTATGACTAAGTCTACGCAATACAGCAACTAAGCGATACATATGATGCGAACATACGTCGATATATTTCTTAAATCATTACTCAGCCAATCTAAATTGATATCTTACAAGATAGAGCGACCACTACGCACGAGGGGACTGCATAACATATTTCAAAGGATAAGTATCGAGGTATACACCGTATATTGCTCTAAACAGTACTCGTTTATATGCGTCAAGAGACAAGTAACTATTAAACACAATCATAATCATGACGTGAAATCACCAGCAATCAAGTGCTTCATCAGCGCAACCAATTTTCACGTCCATCTTAAGCAACGCCTGAAAGAGAAACGCTTCAAACGATGGAAGCCGTTGAACTGAGCACAACATATATTATTCCAGTCTTACCCTAACGAACGCTCAAATATTTAAGCGTTAATACGGCGAATTTTTCGAACAACGGATATTTTCCTAACGAATATTTTACGAAACACGGATCAGGCAGTGGAGACCCTCAAGCCGGTCGAAACGATTAATAAACGAACAGAAGTGAGCGATCGCACCATAATTCATGGTTGTGACACAATTGCCATCAATTCAACGCATTAATCCATGACAATCGGCTAACAATTAACACGCATTGATCGATGATTTCAGCCAACGTAAGCGATGCTTCACTCAAGACAATATTACAGACTCTGTACATAAATCGGAATTTGAGCAATTCTGTTTGGAATGATGTAGTTTCGAGGGCTGCAAGTTTTCTTCCATTATATGCATACCGCCGGTTATATTATCCAGCCGACGGATTTGCACCTACGGTATTGCCTAAATATTTCCACCTACCGACCTTAATTAGAGCTTTGGGTCACGGTCTATACCTTCGCTTATCAATAAACTATGAAAGGAACGTGCAAGCGACCCGCAAAATGTAGGAACACATGAGCCAAATCATTCAAGTTTTACTATATTCTTACGGTCTGGATATACTTGGATAATATTAGACTAAGTTTCAGTCATACATTGATGTCCTAAATGCTATGTCGTAGGAGTTCTGAGTGCGCAGTCTGACATGTCGCTTTGCAGCAGCGCCAGAATGACAAGTCGGCAGGAAACAAACCGGTTAGGAGCTAAGACGCAGGCATCACTAATGCAGACAATAGACAAGATGGCATAAAGACTCGAGCATCTGACGAACAAACTTAGCAAGACAATACAAAGAAGTACAAAGATTTTGTGAAGACAACGTCAGATATGGAACACTAGGAGCCCCGGCAGTCTACACGCATGGAAAACAAAAGCTGTGAAGGATCTCGGGAACGATGCATGGTGCACAATACTAACAGAAAGCCTAACTAAATAGAAATCGGTATAGTAAATCAACAATAATCTCTTCGTTATGCGTTTACGTGAAAGTCCCTCATGTCTCGGAACTTCATTCTGAACATAATTTCACTCAAATTGTTTCCGTTTCTTGAACCTACGAGGTAGTTACCCCAGAGCGCACGTTGATCGTCAAATTTTAGGCAGGATATGTACAACTACCAGTAACTGCAACGGTTTTCGGAGCACGAGTTGAATTATGATCTTTTGTATGGTTCAAATGAGACCACAACGCGGATACTTGTTTGATTGCCGCAGGAAATTTACATCCTCCTGATCAGCTAGCAAAATTATTACAAACGAGATATTAAGAAGGTCTGAAATAATGATATGTTAAGTGTGCATCAAAGTCTTGCAAACCGCGAGGAGCAACGTTCACGACAAAATGAACAGCAGGGAACCACGTTCACGACAAAATGAACAGCAGGGAACCACGTTCACGACAAAATGAACAGCAGGGAACCACGTTCACGACAAAATGAAAAGCAGGGAACCACGTTCACGACAAAATGAACATCAATAGACAGCGTCCAGGACATACGACGTGAGAAAGCATGTGTTAATTAGGCTGTAAACAAGAAGTCAAGGCAACGAGTAACTACCGATACTCAAGACAAGTCAATTGCAATTAAATGTCGCTTGAACGAGTAGAGATATGATATTAATTAGATAGTCATATCTAATATTTAGAAAGAATTACAGACGTAGTAAACATAAATAAAAATACGAATTTAATAACTAGATAAATGTAAATATGTTTTGAACAATGATAAAAAGTTGTTTATCACAGTGAAAAAGAATCAAATCACAGAAATTATATTTAGGAACAAAAAAGTGAAGGGAATACAGTCTCGACTCGACACATTTTGTCTCCTTTTTTGGTAATAGTTTCACACGGAACGCTCCAAAAGACATTAATCCAACATTATGAACAAAGTGCATACTCAATAATCACTTATAGGTTGAGTTAAGAAACAATAAAACTAGATCCGTTTTAACAAATAAAAGAATTAAAGATTCGACAGCTACGAGCAAAACCAGCCGATACCGAATCTTGTTTTCAGAGATTCAACGGAACAAATTTACAGGTTAATTTTTGCATGTATTTATTTTTAGTGAGATTCGAAATAAAAAACAATGCGACTTAATGATGGCGCTTAAACGCTAAGTGAGGAAATCGCGAACATTACACAAATCAAGTACAATTTAAGACAAGTGCTACATTAATATAGTGTCACCTAAACGTATAAATAAGCTAGTTAGGTCACAAATGCAGGAGGAAAGGGGGAGTACAGTGTAATGATTTGGAAATAATTGGTTTCTATAACATCCTACAAGACAAAAGCCCAATTTTCAGACAAATGAGCACATATTATTGCAATGCTCAAGTTAGCTTTGAACCATAACGTTGATATGCAACGCTTGGTGTTGGATGTCGCGTGTCAACGAATAAAACTTGACGTCAACGGAGCAACGGTAGGTGCAAGTGCTGTTCAGCCCATGGCAGACGGTTATGTGACCAACACAAATTAGGTTGTTAACGCACGACAACTCATCTTGAGTATCACATAACTAATTCGTAACCCCATATAAGCCCATTGCGCTGAATTGATATAGCTAGTTCTCTTCTAATTAGGTATAGTAAATTGAACACGGCGTTTGGCACAAATTCTGAGCAAGCTCGCCTCAGCACTAGGAGTGATAACTTTCTAGGACCGAAATAGCGAAGACTAAGTTTTCTGGTGGAATGTCGCTCATGATGTGATTGATTGCAACACACACAACGAACATAACATTAACTGTTGTAGTAGTGATGAGGGGTTTACCACAAACTGTCGAGGCGACCACAAACATATTAAATGGTGTGTAGATGTGGTAGTGTGGTGAACGTTACACAAAGACGATCACTTTATAAATTACGGCAATTCTTGAGGACGTGAACACAAAGTGTGGAGTCTGACTACTCATAGATAGTTTAGGTACAGAGTGCATTCACAGGCTTTTTATACACACTGCCGCTGTTGAGGCGGCATGTAAGTAGCAGATCCATCCGACACACGCGCGCGTGCGTCTATATGCAACGAAGAAGCAACAACTCTAACCTACATGTAGACACACGTAAAGCTTTTCTTAGCACAGCACAACCAGCACAGTAACTATTAATTATTAACCTATTCGCGCTAACAACAGGGAACGTGGAGCCGATCATTCAGGGCTCCATATTGTCATCAATACCTTACCCAGGGCCCGCATATAGATAAATACTCGCATTATTCAACGTTTTGTAAACTTAAATAGAATAAAAGCTATTAGCACGTAAGCAACACATCAAGTACGACTAGACACTGAACAACCAACGTTTGATTGCAGCTGCCGATAGTGAGCAAGAGTCGTATTGATGCCAAGAATACTTCACAAAAATCATCAGTTGCCAACAAATCTTTTCTAACAACGCGTCCGGTGAGGTAAAAATGGTAGGCAACTCAGCAGCAGCGATGCCAGACCTTACAACCCTCAAGCAAGTGTGCATAGCAATAACATACTGCAGGGGCGTGAACTGCTGTGTGGAGGGGCTTAGAGTAGCTCTTGCTGCGTGGTTATCTCTTGCATGCGAGAACAGCTGTCTGAAATATCAGGTCTTCGCTGTCAGCTCCTTCAGTCAGCTAATCGTAAGGGCAGACACTGAGAAGCCCAACTACAGCAGCGCTCAGTGTTGAGAGGAGGTTTCGGCTCAAGCTGAGGCGACTTCAAACCTGCAAATTATGCGCAGCAGAGGCTGTGTGGGGAGGTAGGGATGGTTGTCAGGCAAGGAAAGAACTATTATTTACGTTCAATCAAGAAGAGCAAGGGTATGCAAGACAATGAACTGGTTATCCCGCTTCGAATAGCACCAGAAGGTAATCAGAGAGCACCGAAGCGGCAAGCTAAGATGGGTTTAGAGTCCTATAGTCTGCTTGAGCTCAAGGTCGTGATGGGTAAAAGGAAAACACAGTAAATGAATCGCAATGTTGCAGTTCCGTAAACATCAGTGACATCAACCGATGCTATGGTACTGACCCGCACCAACAGTGACCGCTAGTAACCTGTCTCGAGTTAAGCGAGCCTCACAGACACTACGATGCTCGGGCTACACAAAACCTTACAAGACAGTTAGAATATAAATTAAAAGTTATATCTATTTGCTTCCAAATGCAGATCTACGTAAGAGTGAAGAACGGGCGCGGTAAACAATACAAGGTAGGAAAATACTTGCACCATAACTACAGATATGACGTCACTAACACGGTCTATGCATGTGGTGCGAAGGTATCAGCTCAGGCGAAGACCAGAACAACGTTAGGTATTTGTACATAGTTTCTAAATTAGGCGGGCGTCTTGGTTCTTCCGGCACCCATGGCTTCATAGTTCATAGCAACTGCAGGACACCGCGTTGCAGTCTAAGGGAGCAGTTCATTACCCTAGGACAAGTCAGCAACAACTTTTAATAAATGATAATCAGACAAATTTCTCAGCCAGGTCATCATTACTGAGGCCACTCACTGCCGAAATAAAATAGGGTTGATAATATATAATTAATGAGCGGTTTTGCCAGTCAGCGTGGAAGAATTGATGATTCGGCTTCTCAACAAGTTTTCATTGACAGATCATGTGAAGTAATTTTATTATAATATGTATTCTAGCACATGTTCATAACAGGCATAGAAAAGTGCCCGAAATGTAAGGAGTGGAGTATTCACTGCGAGCGGCCTTGACGCCATTCATATTTCATCCCATTCCCATTAAGAGAGGAGAAGTATTTATAATATCGCATAGTTGAAACATCAAAAAAAATTTCTGACAGTAAAAACTATGGCTAACTACTACTATGGCAGAGCTACTAGTAATGTAGAGAACCTTTGGGTTGATGGTTTTTCTTTTTTCGACCTGCAAACCATCTCCTTGAAGATGAAAATAGCGCAATTCCTAAAGAAAAAGCCTATGGATGCCAGAAGACCAGCACAAGAGCCTCGTCGAGGATACAGGCTAGACTCGCAGATCTTGGGGACGAACTACCTGCACGGTGCACGAGCTACTGACGAAGGTGGCACGAGGGACAGCGACAGGGGAGAAAGAGAGAGAGAGAGAGAAAAGCGTGTGGGCAGATATGAAGAAAAGAGGAGCAAAGAGAAGAGAGAGGATCACATGAGAGTCGATTTGATGGCCAATTGTCTGTTTCGCTCAGAGGCAGGGCTTCATAAAATTAATTTTTATACTAAAAATCGATAAATAAGTACGCCTTGCAATAGAGTAACATAAAATCATAATAAGTTACTGTTGTGCCAAAGACATATTTCAGATATCACCTATCGTGTTACTAAACGCATCGAAAAGATAGTATATACAATTGATGCAAGCCACAGAAAGGAAAAACCAAAAAAGCTGAGACCTACTGACAGATCTCAAAAAATGAACTACGTTATTTCGCTTGAGCTGTAATTTGAGACAATATACATGGAAATAAATAGGCATATCGTGGATGCTCAAAGCGCCCGACAATTGAAGTTCAATAAACAATCGTTTGAGTATAATTCAGGGAGCGCTGAGCAGACGAAAGAATGGTCGCGGAAGACATGAGAAGGGATGCTAGTACTCATCGCTAATAACCTGCTATGGTGATACTCGTTATTGACTAAGTTTGTGCGTGGCTAGCGTACACCAGCAAGCCTTCATATTCCCCTTCCCCGTCCAGGGGATGAGAGAACTACCATTGAGCTGCCAGGGGCCTAGGAGGAAAACATGAGGTAAAATGCACGTGAGTGACCGCCGAGTGCCCGTCCGCATCTCCCTACTTAACGCAAAATTTCCTGGAATTTGATGGAGTGGAAAATTTCCTGGAATTTGATAGAGCGGAAAAATTTCTTGGAATTTGATAGAGAAACCAAATTACAGATAATATTTGATTTTTGCCTATGAAACAATGGTGAAAATAGGACAAATTCAAATTCATTCAGGCACACACAACGTAATGCAATTACTCAAATGTGAGAAAGTTTGAAGCATACATAAAATAATAAGTGAATAGAATAGCAAGTTGCGGACGCGGCAATGTGGCGGAGGCTTGACCATTTCTTTCGTCTGCAGGGCATCACTGATGAAAAATTTAGAACCTAAAAATCCAGTGAAATGGAAAAAATATTTTCAATAAAATATTTAAACAATTATCGAAAATAGATGTTATGTTCGAAACTTAGAAAGTTGTGAGCATGTACATAGAAGCATTGAAGCAGAGAACACTATTATGGCAGATGAATAATTTTTGGCACTATAAAAGAACTCATCCAGTTCAAAATAATAAGTACGGATAGTTAAGGTAAATTCAAAGACTGTAAGATTCAACTTATCCAAAGACAAGTTAAATCCAAAAACTGCAAAAAATGTTGCTCAACCCAGACAAACTATCATGTGTAAGAGTCTAAAGAAACGTGTACTATCTAATCCAAATGAATACAAGTAAATGAACCATACATTATTTAAGGTGATAAGAGAATATAGAAGCCCAGCCTGTAGCGAAGAGCCAGTCTAGCTGGCGAGGGAGATGGCCATGTCAAATCTATTCTGCGTGATCTGGAAGTATTTCTGCCACTTGGGATCAACATTATATCATCCATCAGTGGGGAAGAGGATATCGTAGCTAGGAGGATAAGGTTGGATGTCAGGCGCTGTGGGGTTAAGATGGCTACCGAGGTTCTGACTGTTGGAGCGATTAAAGCTATTGTACTGATTGACCCCAACGAGCGGCTGCTGCTGTTGCTGCGACTTTTCATCCTGCTGTTGCTGCAGCTGATTATTGAGGGTAACTGCATCATATCCGGGCAGGGTGTTCTGACGTCGGGGACCGGAGCCCCTGACGTCAGCCTCGACCCTCCTGGTGCGATGCGTGCGTCCCCTAGCGTTATGGGCGCGCCGCTCCTGCTGGTGCTGGTGACGCTCGTCGTCCTCGTGCTCCTCTGTTATGCTGTCGTGGCGGCGGCCGCTGCGGTGGGCGCGGTGTCGGTGCCGGCGACTGCGGTGACTCGTCGCCACCACGTCCGCAGACTCCGACGATGCCGCGAAGTTCACGGCCGTCGTCGACTCAGCAGGAGAGGCGCTGCAACAATATTAATCAGACTCTAGTGAAGTAAGAAGGCGTCGAGCAAACGATCTACAAGAAGGTTATGGAATCCGCACCAAGATCCATGCAAAGGAAGAAGGTGGTGGAGCGGTAGTAACGTTATCAGAAGATCTATCATATTCGATTGAATAGACAACGAGGGAGCATATTATCTATAAGAAAATAGCAAAGAAAACGTTCATATGTAACGCTGGCTCCAGGCAAAAATGCTTATTGTATTTTATACTTTACTGCTGACATTTTTTGCATGCAGTTTAACCTTATCCACTTTCACAACTGCAACTTGGAATAGAGAGAAAAAGCTTTCACAGGTTTTAATTGACTTGCACGAGACTACTTATGAACGTTCCAGCAAATAATGCTGACTATTTCAACAGATAATTTAACCGTGAACACAGTAAACTAAGACAAGCTCGGTGGCTAGCATCCAGGTTGCCATTATAGTACTCGGAGAAGACAAGCTTTCTGGCCGCTACATTGTGTTGGTTAAGTCCAGAAGAAAGTATTTAACGCAGATATAATGAACATGGCTCTCACATGCAGGGACAGGCAACGGATCATGCAAGAATCTCTTATGTTAACCTCTTAAAAACCTAGCATGTGAGAATGAAATAAAATATACAAATCATGTGGCATGAAAGAGAGCACCAAAAATATCGACCTTAAAGCTAAATTAGAGAGAAGTGACCTGTAGCAAAAAGATCGATCACAGCAGGCAAGAGGCATGCAAGAAAAGTGCCTGAGAAATCAGATGAACAAGACGAAGAAGGAACAATGAGAGAGAAGGAAAACATAAAAAGATTCCTGAACATAGTAAGATTCCTGTAAACACGGCAGTCGTGTCAGAATAGATTTTGAATCCTACAAATAAGGTTAAAAAATTTGCTTTCATAAAAGAAGTATGAGCCAGAGATGAATGCTCTTGGATTGAACCGAAAATAAAAATAACTCCATTGAACGATAGCACATAACATTGATTAAAATTTTGAGAGACAAGACGACTAAAAAAATAAAAATTTCTACTTAAAAAAAATTTAGTATGCAGAAGTTGAAGAAGAGTGCTACACTTGTGGCAGGAAGCACATGCATAACAACGACATTGGCTGTTCCTGAACTAATTATTGTTTAGTGTATTCAGTGTTGTGATAATCATGTTCAGTATTATGATTATTTAACTACTCACGCTTCTGAACAGAAGGACATCGGTTAGTCCCTGAAATCAACGTCACAAATGAAATTTGACAAGAAAATTCTTCATAAATATGCGAACTGAAAAATGTACATAGAACACTTCTAGAAAACAATCACGATGGTTTAAATGAACTAAAGTGTGTGCCTGAATATCTATAACAAAGTTGAATTTTCTAGGAATGTTTAGCACTCAAGTTATGATCAGCATCTCAAGTTGAAATCAAACACAGAACAAAATTTAGAATAGAAACAGCCAGCATCGCAGACTTGAAAGAAACAGTAAGGCCAAGGTAGAACCGTAAAGACCACCACGGTAATGTAAGACTCATACAATTATGGTAGAACTTGTGACGCTCGAATTCTTATGAAGGTATAGGTTCTAACGTCAGAACTTGTATGTCAACTAAAAAGTTCAAACACTGGAACTTATTCCAATGATGAAAGGCACTTCAAATGCTACATAATATTAAAAGTTACAACTGGAACGATCATAAAGTTTCTAGCATTATGGCTGCAACTACTAAAAACTTATAGCATTTGTACTTGCTCAACATTAGTCCCTGCCATCATATATGGTACTACTGCAAAATGTATAGCAATAACACTTGTAAATAAAGTTCCTAGCATTAGAAATGGTACGACTACAGAGGTTCTAACGTGAGAACTACAAGCAATATGTACATCAGAGGCGAGAACCAGAGCTCAAGACACAAGTTCGATTGAGTAACTTTTCAGGTACGGAAATCCAAATACCTGCTGATGCAGCTTCTTGAAGCATAAGAATTGCAAATGGTATAAAAATTTTCCTATAATTCCTGATTAAAATTTCATTCCAATGCATGAAAGATAATAAATAAATTTGGAAATCCCCATGGGTAGAAGAAATCAGTCAATGGTTCTTGCCCTGACAATAGATGCTCTGCCGCAGCATGCACGCTCATCCCGACAATATCTTGTAAACAATATCTTTGAAATTTTTTAAATTAAATATATTGATATGAAGACTGTTTTCAACATTAATCTGTTGTAAATTGAAGAAATGTTGACACAACTTTATGGTCTGAAGTCATGGGGGAAAAATAACATCGAGTAAGTGGTTAGAACTGTGGTTATATTTGTAAATGTTAAGATGAATGCTGATAGATAGGAATTTGACAAGTGTTCAAATGACAGTTGATATTCTAGGTATATTATATATACCTACCTATATTATATATACCTTATATGTAACTTTTCTCATAGTTATAGAGCTTATGTGATTGACAAGATAATTTAGAACGATTCAGTGCTCATACCCCAGAAGATTTAATTAATGGAAAATTAGTGGTTCGAAAGTACAAGCCTTAGAACCAAACAATACCATATATGAAGCAGCCAAGCATAGCATGAAGACAGCTCAACTCTAGTAAATTTTATACGAGTGTTACCAAATAAGATGGTTATGATTAATGGAGTGATTACAGCTCCAGCTCTACACCACCACGACACCCTACACCACCACGACACACCACAGCACCCTACACCACCACGGCACCCTACACCACCACGACATCCTACACCACTACACCACCCACCGGTTGCTATCATTGCGGGCTTTAGCGACGAGAACGTAGATGATGAAGAGCAGGATGATGCCGCCGATGATGCCCCCCAGCAGCGTGACGATGATGATGGTGGAGGAGAAGACGGCCGAGTATTGCGCCAAGCCTGCCACCTCCTCTGCACAGTTGTCTTCGTATTAGCATTTCTTGCTCACAAATTTATGAAAACATTTTCTGTTAATAAAGTGTGAATAACATCCACTCTTTTTCAACAGGAGAGTCGAGGTCACCAGTATCAATAGCAGACAAAAAATACTCGCTCCTTGACACTGCAGCCCAGCAGGATACCGCTACATCCACAAAGTCAATGAAACGTTTTTTATCAACAACTCCGTTTAAAGTTAATTAAATAAATGAATGAGATCCACACTAACAGACTATGAGTAATCAAGAGTGTCACGTTGGGAGCTCATAGACAACGTCATTTGGGATAAATTATTTTCTTGGTAATCTGCTTAAAGAAACTTACTATCTTTATTTTACTCAATTAACAAGGTGTAGAATTATAGAACAAAAAAAATGGCAGCTGCTATTACGTAAACACAGCGTTGGTGGAGTTCAAGTGGTGGCCAGTGTTAACCCACACACAAATTTACTAATTATTTCAAAAATAAAAACAATAAAATATTGAGAGAGACCTAAGGAAGAATAAATTATAGACATTGTCGACAGACCTCCAGGACAGCCACGCTCGTCGTTACCACCGCCAGGCAGGGCGCAGTTGACGTGACCGTCGCAGCGGTAGCGGCCGTGCACGCAGTACAGCTCCTTGCCTCGCACGTTGCCTCCCCCGCTACACATGACCTGGTCCTCTGCCGCGCACTCTACGGCACACAGTAGCGTTACTGCCGCGCACTCTACGGCACACAGTAGCGTTACTGCCGCGCACTCTACGACACACAGTAGTGTTACTGCCGCGCACTCTACTTTACACACTCGCGTCGTGATGGCAATACTGCTAACCATTTTAACTTATTTACTACATCATCATCGCGAATACGCACACCGAACGCGACTGATGAAGGCGGACGTCATTTTGTCCTATTAGTGACACACACCTATTAGTGACTTCACGTTGCACTGATACGCCGATTTTCCGAGACTAACTGCATCAGGATAACCAACACAAAGGCAAAAAGAGCATCGATATTCGGACAAAGTCTCGCGAGTTCCTCTGAGTGCACGCAACTCTCGAAATTGGTTATTATTTCCATGCTGAACACACAAAATAACATTGAATATTTCCTTCAAGACCCATTTTGCAAAACATTGAATTACTAAATCAACAACTTCAACTACTGTTGTGATGAAACAATATTGGCTGTTTGCTTGGTATAATAAGAAATATAAAAATGAAAAACATAACATTTAACATATAATATGAGATAAAACATTAGTAACACATGAAAAAGCACCTCGTACAACATATATAGCAGTCTTCACGTAATATTCGTCTGATTCATCTTTCGAAATGAGCAATTTGTGCAGCAGCTCAGCTGAATATTGAATGCACATTTTCTCGCAATAAAGCACCTAATTGAAAGCTAAAAAAAACTTTTAAGTAATGCAATTTGACTCCTATAAGCTCATCACTAATCGGAACACCCATTAAGAATGCGATTATAGCAAAATTATCGGTAGTTTTCTGGCTACATCAACCTAAATGTATACGATGAAGTACAGGCGGCATACCAGGTTAGTCGCGGAGGTTGGGAGCAGCAGCATGCAGGGTGAGAATTTCCATAGCGGGAGATGAAGTGTGATGCAAGATGAGGTGTGATGCAAGATGAAGTGTGATGCAAGATGAAGTGTGATGCAAGATGAAGTGTGATGCAAGATGTAGTGTGATGCAAGATGAAGTGTGATGCAAGATGAAGTGTGATGCAAGATGAGCTTGAAGTCGGAATAAGAAGAAATTCAAATAAAAACTTTCAAGACTTAGCAAAAAAAAATATAAAACATATACCTATCTTACTTAGTTCTCAAGAATCTATAAAAAGGTGCCAACAAAAAATGAAATGTCAGACATCATAATAAACTATTACAAAAAATGAAAACAGCTTCAAAAGTTTCAACTTGTACCGGAATTTTTAATTCAATTCTTAATATTTACATTAAAGGATGATCTTAGGAATGAAAGTGATACAGGCACGTGGGTAATCACTTTTTGGTCTTAACAGAGACTTTTGATTAGATTGAAATCCTGGAAGATGTCAGAAAATGGCTGTATTAGCATAATGAAAAGCTAGGAAGGATGCAAGTCAAGGATTTTGTTGATGTAGGTCTGAACACAATGAATTGGATGAGAGGATAGTAGGACTTGAAAATAGGAGTAACTGAGTTACATGTTGGTGAAGGGCTGCAGGAGAAGAGAGAGAAGACATGCGTTGAGCTTCTTACAACTCACACCCTTAGCAGTCGACATTTGCGGATGGTTAGTTACTACAGCTACTCAGAAAAATTTGTTCCAAAAAACAGTATCTGTCATAATGAAAAACAAACAATAAATAGCCGAGAAAATAACTCTTATATGGAATTTCTCATTATTTTGACAAATAACAATACTCAGCAATGTAAATTTACATGAACTCTAAGCAGAATGGTAGAGTAGGGCTTCTTTACCTGCAGGCATTTTACTTCATGCAAGTGCAATTAATACCTTCGGTATCAAGACATTGCCCATCAACAGTGATGGAAGGCATAAGTCATCGGGCAACATAGGCTAAGCATACAAAGTAAACAGGGGTACGTGCATATTGTAACCACAAAGAAACAAGATACAACTTAATTTAAGGGATCAATGTCTAGGTTATAGTTAACACATGAAGTGAGCAGATAACCAGATATCACATATACAAAGTAAAGGTCAACATGAGGTCGTGGTAACAAGTAATAACTTGATACAAATCAGAGTCTCTAAGGAACAAACAAATAAAAGGCAGGTTTGGTTCAAGCGATTTGGTTCAATGGCATAGTAATATAGACTAGACCTCACAAGAGCAGTGAATGTTAGAAGCAATAAATGAAGCAATATCTCACCATGCTCATTGATGTTGCGGAAGGTGGAAATTACAACAGTGAAGGAGTTGTTGACGGGAGTCTTGTTGTCCTCGTCCTGGTGGTAGACTAACTCTAGACTGTTGGCCATCGTGCTGAACACGTTGCTGTGACTGCTCGTGTCCACCAGCCTGGAGCAAACAAAACATTATTTAATACACAAATAATGAGCAGGGAAATCATACAATGTCACACTCTCAGCCTCTGGGACAGTGATCCTGTCAGTCAGCACCATTATTTAAACCAAAAATCTTGAATGGTCTGACCTTTTCTTGGTTTTTCTGTAGCTTAAAAAACAATATACCAAGTGAGAATCACAGAAACATTACACATTGATGCATAAAATGTGGTTTTGAATATATGTCTTAATACCGAGTCATGATGACTTATAATCACATTCATTTCATGTACTCATTGCCTGCAGTGAAAAATCTGATTGCATAACACATCAAGGACAAGGCACTACCATCACGTAAGTTTGGGAATATTGCAAAAAAAAAATACAGTCGACAATACAGTGTTGTCATGGGAACTACGGTGTTCAAGCGGGGCAACTCACCGAAATATTTTTGAGGTGTCAAGCACACGTTCGCCGCAAAGCTTTTCAGACTGCCGTCCTTTAAAAAGTTTATCAGGAAGCAGCATGTCCAGCACCTGGTTAACTAGACCTCTGCCTTTGGTGCGGAACTGTTTATACAAAACAAATAATTAAAGGCCGTACATGATTTAACAACATGAAAATGGAGAAATCTGCAGGTCATACACTAGAACAAAGAATACAAAATATGCCCACTGAAAATCCATGTGATATAGGCTGAGCCCACAAGTGAAGAAATTTTTATCTTCTATTGGAAGAAATAAGAATATTCTATACGTAATACCCTATATAAAAATTGGTACCAATTAGAGAAGATAATAAGAAAGTACTTTAAAAATGATAGTAAATATCACATATTTTATTAAAAATGCCAATGGATTTCAAATAATTACAGCCAGATTTACCAAAAATCCTAACAACCAGCAAATAAAACAATCAGACATATATAGTTCTCTTATATTGTAGTAATTTAGCAAAAATATCAAAGCAGCAATGAAGCCACAATATTGGAACAGAACCAAATAGAAGCAAGAACTCACAACAATATAATCACTGCAGTCCCATCTCTTGGTGGCATGGTCCTGGGTACCTTGTATACGAATGTTCTCCACAACCCCACCAAGATGAAAGTTCTTCTCGGTGGAAACTTTCAACTGAAAAACATGTTATTTAACTTATACATGCAAAAATATTAGTCTCTAAAATAGAAGTTAATTATGGAGAAGGAAAATTTGTGAAAATAGATGAGTTCACGAATTCAAAAAATAATAATTGAAAATCATCAAATAAAATTTGAAAATGTAATAAAAATCCAAGGAATATTAAATGTTTTTGAAGAATCTTCATTATACAGCATGGTTGCTAGGACAATTTTCCAATATTCTTGTCTTAATACCAATCTATCAATTACTGATTCAATTCATACATATATAATCCTTATATACATCACAGAAATTCTGATAACTGTTCATGAGAAAACTCAGAAAAGTGGCTAAGGAGTAAGATCCCAATAAATTAAAGGAGTCAGCAGAGTTTTGCTGCCCATTCCAAGTCAATTTCTGCTCTATAACTGGTCACAATCTTTCAAATTTCCAAATCAATCATATACATGCTACAAATATTACAGACAAACGAAAATAATAATTATTATAAGTATGACTCACAGTGCAGGTGTGTCTGTCTCTGCCATAATAGTCTGCATCTTCAGCCTGTCCAAAAGTGATGATTGCTGCAGACCAGGCCGGCAGGTATACAGGCACTACTCCATCAACTCCACGACAAACTTCCTCCAGCACATCTGAGAGTAATGCAGCAGTAAAGCAAATTAGCAGTATTTAACAAAAAATATAGCAGTGATGAAAGCAAGTGGTTCTATACTTCAATATTAATGAACAATATGAGAAAATAACTTCGAATTTTACTGCCAATATTTGAAGTTATTTCAAATTAACACATCACGTCATCAGATATAAGAGCATTAACAGTGTGGATGTACTCACAAGTGGAGTAAGGATCTGGTTTGCTGGCCTCATCAGCTTGTGATGATGAGATGACCAGCAGAAAATAAGGTAGAGTAAATAGCACTGCCAAGAGCAGCTGCTGCCCCCCTAAAACTAACCTAAGCATCACTGTCCTGATGCCCGGCTTAAAAGTGATCAAAGATTATGCATCGAAAAAAATAAATCTGGAAAGAGGTGAATGCATGATGAGACACTATTGTTTGTAGTAGATTTTATCAGCAATTGAAAGTACTTTGTTATATATATAGCTTATCATCACTGACCTATGTATAACCAAACTAGGTTTGGTTAAAACTGGAAGTATGCAATAAGTAATTGAACATCACATGATAAATAATTATCTTTGAAATAACTTGCTCATTAGTCATTAACTCATAATGAAGCATATCCTTGAAAGAAGAATATAGGTCAGTGATGATAAACTACCTATAACAAAATACTATACCTATTTTACTGATGTAATACAGGCATAAAATATCAAATGCCTTGATGGCTTTGTTCAGGTTCAGCATCCAGAGTATCTAGGACAGGTAAGTCCTCAATAGTGTCCAGCACTTCCTGCAAGACATTGTTAACATTGGAGTAAAGTCAAGATAGTGTTCAACTCATCTGCTCAGTCTTGCTGGAAATAGGCTTGTCCGACATAGACCTCAGTAGAGCCATCGTTGCCACTGGTAACTTGAATACTTGCTTGATTCCCTTGTACATCCCTCTTACACTGCCAGAGTCTGAGGCCTGCTGAATGCCATCCCCCAGCTGCAGCCAGTAGCAAGCTATTTGTTGAGCCTATTTCTGAGTCATTCTTAGTGCATGTAGGTTCTCCTGACTTGGATCACTATTGTACCAAGCATCACTCTTTTTTGCAGTCAATGACTGGTTCCAACTCACCAATGTTGGCCTCAAACCAGTCAGCACTTCCGTGCTCCTACATGCCATAGGCCATGACAGCAGCATCATAGTTGGCGCAGCAGAGGGAGCACCACCCATCAACTACACACTCTGCCGTTTGCCAGGGAGAAAGTTGGCAAGATGCTTGACCAGAAATTGATTTCTAGCAGGACAGAAGGCCCTGCTGACAACAGTTCTGGGCTGGTGCTTCCTCATGAGGATTTTATATCTTTGGTATAATTTTGCTATTTAACAGACCAAAGAGTGGACAGTATTACAGTCAGCACAGTGGTACACTCTTGTGTTGTGCACACTATCCAGAGAGTGGTGCCATGTGATTATCAAGTCCAGCTGGTGCCAGTGTTATGATCTGATATGTCTCCAGGATGCCTAATGGCATAGCTTGTTATGGATAATTATAATAAATTTTTGTTTGTTGTTAGCTGGTGCTAGTATTTCCTAATATAACTTCCTTGATGGAGCCCAGGTGGTTTCAGTGACCTACCCTGCCAGCATTACCCGCAGCCATACTGCAAACCTCCTTAAATATCAATATTAAATGTACCGGGACTGAACCTCCCCAACACTATGATGTGGTAAGTCTACAAATTGTTGTTATGAGCTTTTGATCATGATTAAATATTTTTTATTGACAAGCAGTGAATTAAGCTTTGAATTGTATTTGCCAATAGAGAATTCTATCATCATTATTGGCCAATCTGGTATATTCAATATTAGGCAGGATTTTACAGACAGAAAATGATGGGTAAGATTTATTCTACAAACAGATTAAAAATTTCCAGGCAAAAATCTGGCATGGAGTATATTGGCCTATGATGGCTGACTATCAGGCCACATTCAAGTGAAGAATTGGGCACTGGGCACTGGGCACAAGCCAACACCCACCACTGCCACCAGTAACTTGGACAGAAATGCCTATAAATCTGGCTAATTTTAGCCATTCTTATGGCTTTTTTCTAATTTATTCACTGAAAAATAAGAAAAAAAAAACAATTTTCAATTATGATTTTTAAACATCACTTGTGAAATCATTGTTTTTACCCACAATTTTGGGCAACTCCTGCCTGATAAAGTGATATTCCAAATTAGAGACCACAGCTGGAGCTCTACTGCCATTTTAGGCACTGCAAGATTCATGCTTAATAATTTACTCCAATTGTATTGTTAACAAAAGTGCACAATTGAGCTTGATAATTCTAAAAGTATAGAAAATTTGTTACTTTGGAGCTGCAAGATTCAAGGAAGTAGTAGAAAAAATTCTAATCCTGAAAAAATTAAACATTTTTCTTATTTTATATAGAAAATTTTAGACAAGAACCATATTATAATGCAGATAAAATTTACTGCAAGCAGGTGTTGTCCCATGGACAGCAAGAGCAAGCCAAAGATGAGAATTGGGCAGAAGCACCCATGAATCAGACAAAACGGCCCATGAATCTTCTCAATTTTATCCATTCAGGCCATTCGCATGACCTTTTCCTAATTTATTCAGTACCTATTGTTATACCTAAGAAGAACTGTCTATTTTTACCTGTATTTTTTTATAAATACCTGCCAAATGATATATTTTATCCATCATTTTAATAAACTGTTAACTGATATTCCAAATTTGAAGTAAGATATGGTCACATATGACATGGACTCTGCTCAGTTAGTCAGCTTCTGGAAAAGCCTAAATATAGTAATATTTAGAGTTTACTAATGCCTATAGGTATTAGTTATTAGCTTATTACTAAAAATAAAAAAATATCATGCAGAGTCTCTCTGAGACAGACATGGTGATGGATCTCCATTCTCCATGCCCATGGGCCATGGCACCACTGACCACTGCCATGATGGCATCATGGCACCGCCACCATGATCATTATTGATCACCATCTATGATCAGGACCTCAGATCTAACTTATGAATCAAATCAATCAATCTGATGATGACTGTGGCAACTAAGCTAAGCCAACTTATTATTAAATACTGTTAAAACTGAACTATATATAATATACCTGCCTACCTGGTACTGGTAGGCTGGTAGGCTGCCAGCTGGTAGCATAGTGACAAACCAGAGATTTTTTAGAATCAGTTCATTTTTAATTTCCTCATTTACCCAAGATTTAAACCAATTTCTTATGTATGATGATGCTGGTATCCAGGATACTCTACTGGTCTACTTACAGAACTCAAAAATGAACTTGACTTGAGGGAGAGTATAAAAATCTCTCTGCTTTGCCACTATGGCTGGTAGGCTAGGCATGGTGGCAGGGAATTATTGTGAGTACTTATCGGTCCACCGCCGTGCGTCGGTCTTAACCCTTCGCAAGGCCCCATGACCTTGGCCCTTGGGCCCCTCTTGCAAGTTGTAATGGTCTAAACTCAACAGTTCGACCCCTGGCCCCTAGGTGTGTTTTACGATCGGTCCATAAAGAAGTGTTGATCGGTTCAAAATGACATAAGAACAGGTTCTTTTGAATAACCTATGGATTGGCACCATGAGGCTAGGTACTATTAAAACTTAATGCAGCATGCCGCTATTGCCACAACTGTGAAACAGTCAACTGACTACTGAGTACTGAGTTCATCACTGTACTGTAATCTGTATGTTGTATGTGTTAATGTGTATGACTGTAATAATGTAGCTGTACTGCTGTAGCCTACAATTATTTGTTCATTGTTCCTACTTCCTAGTTTCCTACAGCCTGTAGGAAACTAGGAAGTAGGAACAATGAACAAATAATTTGAGTTCTACAAAACACATGTAGCATCAACTCAACTCTCAAGGCCCCATCAACTGGTCTGGATCAAGCATCATAATTCATCTGTCATCCATATTCCATCATCATCAATCATGGCATCATGCAACTTTAACTATAGGTAGCCTAGGTACCTAATCAACATAGTCATAGGCCTACTGCTTTCCGAATTACAAATCCATGTATTTTATCAGAAATCGTGCAAATACACTAACTGATATCCGAAGAAAAAAGATGCATGGAACAATATTCTAGTTCATTGAGATATTTTGGAACGGAACATAAACCCGAAACTTTAGGAACACCCGTAACCTGCGCACAAGCAATGCTGCACCCACTTCGAAGACACAATAATAACTGACTAACGGTCACTAACCGATGCCAAGAATCGACGCACTTCCAGGAAATCCTTGAAGTGTCTGAACCCTGATCAATTTCCGCAATTTCACACGGTCTCCGTCATTTAGCAAGTCTCTTCTGTGAAAATCGATTCACACAGTGGTTTCCAGCATGGTTGAATTAATACAAGGTTGACCCACGGCGACGACGATTTTTTCGCCGTTCTGCGCATGTCTCGTGTGACGTCAACGTGGGCCAAAAATGTAAACAGTGGAGACCAACGCGTTGTTTTTGTGCCATATTTGAAATGATATTTTAAAAAATTTACCTCCTCAAAATGGCACAAAAAACTGCATTTGCTGCAACAAGTGTTACTTTAAGCAAAGCCGGTGTTACAAATCCGTTTCGTGGAGTGTAAATTAAATAAATGGGAAACATGATGGGATCATGGGTCGACAGACAAGGGCAGAAAGGAGTAATGGCGGCCACTCAGCTAACGGTCGATGAAAGGAAACACAATTCTAACGAAATTTTATTTTCGTAAGCTAACGAAGAATATGCTTTGCTATAAATTGTTTTAATGTTGTAATTTGTTCATTTCTTACTTGTCATGTTGTTCTGAAAATTGTATCTCCGACTGTCAATATTGTTGTATCTGTTCAGCGGTGCAGCGGTAGGCTATGAAACATTTTTGGTGCTGTAATATTTCTAGGAGGGTAATGGAATACTGACGAAAGATTTATGTGAAAAAACTCAAGTTTTTGATTGATTGATATTAGAATAATGAGAACGTAAATGCAATAAATATTTCCCATGTGCTGAATTTATTAGTGGGAGGTGACAGTGGCAGCCTAGCAGGCTGAGTCAGTGACAGTGAGTGTAAGTACTGAAGTACCCTAGTAGGCTAGTAGCCTAGCGTCCTTGCAGCTGTACTGTGTACTGTGTAGTTATGTAGACTGTGGAGAAGGGTGGCAGACTGGCAGTGGCCAATAATTTATATTTTAATTAGCTACTCTGCAAATATTATTTTTAATTTTGATAAAACTTCTGC